ACACAAACTACTAATAGATAAACACACACTTATTCAATGACTTGACATTACCTCACCACAACTGAGGTCATGTTTACTTGTTTCCTTACAATACCCAGCTCTGAAAGCCAGAGAAAGTGATTCGCTAAGCTCACTCCCTCCCCTGCAGCAAGCTGAGTCAGCTTAAGTTTCTCATTATAATCAGACATACGAAAGGACTCATGCAGAATAAATTGAACAAAAACGAAAATGTGTACAATGACTAAGTTAACCTTTACTGGTCTCATGACCTTTCACTGGTGCTATTAATCATTAATTCCAAGACTGATTATGTGCATGTATGGGGTTTATTTAAAAGAAAAGACAGGAATCATTTTATAAAATTCAGAGTAACATTTTAAAATTTCCTGTTTTTTTGACAACAATACAAAACTAACTTCAATTTATCCTTTCATATACCGAGGTTGAGTCTGTTAATGGTTAGCAGTTTGCTCAGTGAAGAATTTGCGCTTTGCTGTTGATCAATTTCACATGAACATGGGAACGTTATTGAAAGACTGAAAGACTATTGAAAGCTGTGGTCTTGGGATGAGGATAACTGCCTATTCGGTCAACAGATTAGTTGATTTAGGGAAATTATTTCAGAGGAATTTCGTATATCCTCTGAGATTTCTTAGTTTAGGGGCGTGTTTTTTATCATTTTTGGAGGCACCCAAAGGTGTGTTGGCCTGAGCCAATGTAAAAAGTAACAAGCATCATAATTAAATCATTTTTGGTATGACTTTGTATTATGGTTCTCAATATGTATCACTTAATGGATAATAAGATATATATGCAACTTGAATGTTGCATTGCGTATGTATTAATACAGGGGTTTCCAACTCCAGGCGTCAAGTGCTGGTGTCCTGATGGTTTTAGATATCACCCTGGGTCAACACACCTGAATCACATGATTAGTTCATTACCAGGCCTCTGAAGAACTTCAAGAAACGTTGAGGAGGTTATTTAGCCATTTAAATCAGCTGTGATGGATCGAGGACACATCTAAAACCTGCAGGACACCAGATCTCGAAACCTGGAGTTGGACACCCCTGCATTAATACATCTAAAATAAAGTTTTACATGATTGTTACATGGTTGCTTTAAGCTTAAAATATACATTTACTAGCACTTGGATTCCTTCGTAAAAATATTAATATTGTCTCTTTATTAATGTAAAAATAATTTGATGTTAATAAGCTTCTAATAGAGACTAATAATCCTTAATATTAGTGGAGTGGTAAAACATTAATGTGCTTTAATGTCTTACCACTTCACTAATTTTAAGCATTACCTTCTTCTAACTTAGGCTTTCAGGGGACTGCTGAAAATCCGGTCAACAAACTAAATGCCTTTATTAAACAAGGACCTATTCAGATTCACAAAAGAACAGTGAGGATGATTTAAGGCTTATTGTTTAAATGAAAAGTCCAGGAGCCTCAAACCTCCACAGTGGCATGTGGCTCTTTTGCACATTTCTGTGGCTTTGACAAAAAATATATTAATTTTACAGGTTTATGTCTGAGGAAGTAATTGCTGTATGTAGCCAAAGAAACATTTTACACAAGTTTCTGTCACTTCACTGTTGCTCCAATTTGTTGTCAATATTAACATTAAAATACCAAATAATTTTTATTATTTTAATTCCATCCATCCATTTTCTTGAGATTATTTGGGGTCGGATCACGAGAGCAGCAGCCTAAGCAGAGAAGCCAAGACTGACCTCTTCCTAGCCACCTCCTCTAGCTTTTTCAATCAGATTTTTTTCCCTCCACAAGCTGCAGGAAATTATAACTACTATTTTTCAAACAGAAATAACTCAAACACAGCAATCAGAAATTTAATCAAGTCTCATTGGTGTCATTGGACTAAAAAAATCTAGCATTAGCTGATAAAGCCAATTGTGAGACAGATGACAGTAATATCACTACTGCCAGTCTTTTCATCTCATCAGACCGCCCAGTACACACACAGCTCTGCAGGCTGCAGCTGCAGGGTAATCACCACGTTGTCCATTTGCTATTGAGCAGGACATAGGTGTAGTCGCACATTGTTTGTTCTGCCACAATAAACTTCCTGCCCCTTGGCAACTGGCAGTTATTACTAGCACCACTCACAAAACTGAACAGCCTTCTATTTCCCATCACAATCTGTGGTCCAACATTAATGGACAGATAGGTGGCACCGCAAACAGACAGATGCACAAAGAAATCAATGGAAAGAAGAGAGCTGGTAGAGCTAAAAAAGGCTTTACTATTTCCAGTATTTCACAGAAATGTTGGCAAATATTTGAAATTGTACAAAGGACATGAGTAGAACTGAATAATATAATACATATAATGTAAATAAAAGGCCATGCACATCTTTTCAGTAGGAGTTAAGGTCAAATCTCAGTGAATTCCTTTAAAAAGCATTCATGAATATACCACTCCATAATACTATGATCATTATAAAACATGTAAGATTTTATTCATGTTTTAAGTTTGTAAAATCCTGTTTCTGAAAAGGTGTTTGAACCAAGGTTGATTTCTGTTTCTGTCAGCAGGTCACATTTCATCAGTTTAGATACATTTATTTATTTATTTTAAATAATGGTTTAACTATTATTAGACGATATCCTTTTGTTATGCCATCCCACAATGTTGACTGTTAGCCTGCATGCCACCAAAGACTGATCAAACAAGACTGGTCGATAGCCTTCAGGTTACAAGACAACTAGAAGGGTAAGACGGAAAAAAATCCAGAACCAAAATCATCATAGAGCAAGCATCAGGAGAGAGGCTGGTAAATGAGTTAAGATAAATTAGGGAAGTTGTGAAGGCAAAACGAGGTCGAACCCATTATTAGCAAGGTGCAACTAATGCAACTAGATTATTGAAGTCTTTTTATGTTGTTGTTCTTTAACAGTGTTCAAAATGTTATGAAAATCCAGTTTGAGGTCATGCTTTACAACAGTGTCAGCATTTAAATTTGCATACCTCACTTCCTTATAATGAAATATTCAAGTCTGATAAAAGTAGCATCTTTCTAGGGAGCCAGCATAATTTTCTTCAACAACAAAACAATGCAGTCCATTAAGGTTGTGTATGCCATCTGCCAAAATTGATCATAAGCATCAGTATAGTGTTGATACTTTAGTAGTATGTAGCTCCTCAGTGGTCACCTTTCGAATGTGGCACTTTTAGCCCTGAGATGGGAAAGACACCTAACGTGTATATGAAGAGAGACTAAAAGAGTCTCAATCGAGCACACGCAAGTCAAAGTAAAGCTCAGACTCTTGCACTAACAGACATATTTATGATATTTGCAGATCAGTTGTGCCGGGTTAGTAACTATGTCAGTACTGATAAGAGGGACATGTAGAAGCCTGTTAATTACTCTGTCTGATGCAAAACACATTCCTCCCCTGGGTCAGGGTTTGGAACCTCACACAGTCTGAGGCAGAACGTATTTGCAGACACTGTCACCTCAAGTGTGCACTTATGCAACTTCATCAGCAGCTATGTTGTCCTCTACGATCTGACAATGAACCTAATACAGAAAACAATGTTTGGAGTAATTCAGAGATTATGTATAACATAGGTTGTCTAGCAGAGTAGTTTGATGTCTGCTGTTTACAAAACTCTCAGCACTGTCTGCGGCACACGTTGCAAAGCGCAAATTACCTTAGAAAGACACTATGTTTGCTCTTCTCTTCAGCTTGTCATCTGTCTGTAATATGTGATGCACCAACAGTGAAATTCTGCAGCAACAGTGGGGTTTAGAATAACAATGTGGCCTTTTTGCTGTCACGTGACCACTAACCTCCAGACTTGGTTTTAACTTGTCTGCCAATTTGCCCATTTTGTTAATCATGGTGACATTTTAGGGTCAAGTAGATAAGACTCCAGTAGCACAGGTGGTTGTTGACTGCCCCTCAAAAAGCAAGAAAAACTGCTTATTTCCCAGTGGACTGGCAAGTGGTTGACAGATGGGTCTAGCGACCTTGGCAACCACTGGTTGCAAAGAGTCTCAATTTCCAGTTTGTGTGGCAAGTTTTGCCACTGCGCTACAGAACCCATCATTTCACTATCCCAACATACACATTTTCTCGCCCTAACAACATAGTTGTATCGTGTGTAAAACCCTTATTTTGAATAAATATCCAATGTTATTTAAATTATTTTTACACCTCAATTACGCATTTTAATGTATATTTGTGCAAAACTTACATTACATAACAGATAAATATTGGCGATACTCTACATAAAAATAAAAGAATAAAAAACATATACATTTAATATCGTTTTAATTCAGTCCTTATCGTTTCTTGGGGTGAAACACCAAGGATATAAAGCCATGAAAAGGGTCACGGCATCTGTGCAAACTGCACTTCCCTGAGCTTCACAAGAAAATACTTTGCTCAACATTGTTTCAATGTTTCCTTGCTATCTGGGAAGTCACGTCATATTTTCGAAATAGGGATTAATTCACACTATCCTTTCAAGTAGTAACGGGTTTCCGTTCACCTTTTTTTGCAATATTTGCAGCTCCTTTGCATATCTAACATGAAATGTGAGAGGACAGCAGGACAAAAGTGATGACTAAGCATTAGTAATAATTTCATGGAATCGTATCAGCACTGTCAACACAAGGAATGACCTGCATGTGTTACCGATACGGATTAACTCTTAAACCAGGAGTTTAACCAACTATTTGGATATCAAAGGAATTCTTAGATACGTGATGCAACACCTCGCTTGATTTATGGCTGTTGTTTTTTCCCCCCACTTTCCTTTTGAGGAAAATAAAACTTTAAATCAACAGTGAAGAAGCTGTGCTTTGTGAGTAAGCAACACGTTCTTTGCATTTGCAAATACAGTCTAAACAAACGGCAACAGGTCCAACAAGGTGCTAAATCCTCCTCCATTGTGCTGTGAAGTTGGTTTAAGCAGCGGGGCAACTTAAAAGTTCACTTACCTGATCTTCGTGATCACCTGTAGCGGAAGAAGCCATATTGAAGAAGGTGTGTAGCGCAGCTGATCCGGTTCACAGGTAAGTTTATTTACAACAAAATCACCCTGAATCCAAATAGTCGCTTAAAAAGAGGTGACATTTGCTTACAGATTCACTTTCTCACTAAACGTGCAGCCCCAAGGAGTCTCTAAAGTGGTCAGGGAGCAGGAAGGGGGCGGTGTAAGTTCTTCGGAAACGGTAAAAGGTCCAGGTGCGGCGGTGGAGCGGTATGCAGATGCAGCCTGCAGTTACGCTCAGACGACGCAGGAGTCCCGACACAAGGGGGCAGCATTACTACCATAATCATTTGTAGTATCTTAGCTTGCTGTATTATGTCTGGTAAAATATGGCGCAGGCGATAATATCAGTGAATACACGTTTGGAAAACTCGCATATATATTATTTTAGGACTAATATTCAGTATATGTATTCAGAGATGCCAGAAACTTGGAAATAAATGATTAAGTTAATGTGATTCCCCCCCAGATTTCCTATGTGGCAACTTGAAATCAAATAATGGATGATATTTATCAAATGTATTTGTATAAAACATAGGAAAGCCCATTCAAAGCCCATTGGGTTGTTCAATCATTCTATTTTATTTTATTTTAGTAGGTGCACATTGTTGTACATTATATTAATAAATTCTGGTGTTTTATGTTTAAAGTGTTCATTATTTTTCAATCAGCCAAATATTTTCTAAAGATCTATGAAGGAAATCACACAGCCACACACACAAAATAAGGAGCTAAATTATAAATAACTAAAGTCAATCTCCCTTTCTTATTGAAAAATAGAAATATGGAGCCAGTGATCAAGTTCTTTCATGGATAGGGGAAAAAAAATAGGTGAATATGATGAGCCATCTTCTAAATTAGTGACCATTTCAAAATTTGTGTTGCTATAATAGAATTTTTCAAATTAATGGTTTTAAAAGGACAAACAAGCAAACTGCTGAAACAATTAAACATATGACTGCATAAAAATATAAAATATATTATAAAAACCTTAAAAGAACCAGACTCTTTGTCTCAACATAACTCCTTATGGGGAAGTTTCTTGCACCAGGAAGCGGAATTAGTGCAAATAAACTCCGGGCGTGAAAAGATAAGAGATCAGTACGATCCAAATTAATGCGATCATGTTTTTTCAGGAACTGAAACTTTCAGTCAGAATAGATTTGCTGGCATTTCTACCACCAAGGTTTGTAAAAGCACATCAGCACTCCTGACATACCAGTTTTATGTGAGAATTTCATAATGTGTTGAGACCCTGCTCATCAAAAAGTTCACATCATAAGCTAATGCATGGATCAAAGATTTAGACACAGAAGGATTAATAGTAGTGTGAATGCAAACATGTAACTGCTGCCAAGTCAAGTCATTAGAATAAAAACAGAAGTTTTTACATAACGTGTGGAAGCTACATTAATACAGTTTCATCCTGATGGTTCTGCATAGTGTAACAGTTTGCTTAAAGAACAACAAAGAAAACTATTCAAGCTTTTTTGGACCTGCACACCTACATTAGCACTGCAAAGGCTGTTTTGAAAGCAATGTGTCAATCACTGATTGAGACGTACGATAAATACCTGCAGACACACGCTGCGCTTTGTTTTCATTCTTTTATATTCGCCTGAGAAAGGATTAGTCTATTATTGCATTTCAGAATAAAATAAAAGCAAATGATTAAATTGACTTTGAACAAAAAGAAAAAAAATATGCAAAGTTAATTCAATAATTCTTTATTTAAACATTGGTGCCCGTTGCCTCAAACCTCTTGACTGATGTTTAACAAAATTCATTTTTCAAGCCTCTCATTCCCTCTGTAATTTCCAGATTCCTGCAGGTAAATACTTCCTCACAACATGACCTTTTCATATGGAGCAGGCCAATAAAGGCATCTTGGGTCACAATTAGGTCAGTGTTTAACATTTGATCACATTAAAAATGTAATATTTCTGCTTTCAGGTTGAAACCCACCTACAACCTGAAAACACCTCTTTGGTGGTAGGTAGAGAGGGGTACATCCTCACCCTTTGTCCTCAAGAGTGAAGAAACAGTCTGAAGTGAAAAAAATAAGGAAGACAAAGAAGAGGGAGATGGAGGTGAAAGAGTTTTATTTTTTTTATTTTTAAAAGAGTATGAAAGAGGTACAGAATAGAAGGGCGTAGAAGAGGAGGGGGAAACGAGAGAAGAGAAATTAGGAGGGAGTCAATGAGGAAGAGAATTGTACACAAGAAAGGGAGAGAGTTTAAAGAGTGGAGAGGATGATAGTTTGGGGTAGGAGAGTGTGGAAAGTATTACTGGAGCAGGAAAATATACTGGTTTTTAATACTGAACATCTTAAAACAAGTAAAGCCTTCTTACTTCCTGTCCCCCCCCTGAAATCAGTGTTTTAGTGCTGAACACTTGAAAGCTGTGATGTATAGACTGGAAATTATTCACTTGATTGCCCTTTAACACAGCCGTTTTAGCACAAAACTTGTTTGTTCCTGCTATGTTTGAAAGCAACACATGAGGGCGGTGTTGAGCCACAGCAAAAATGTTCATCTGTAATCAAACTTGATATGAAGTCCTGGGGACCACATAAAAACAGGCCTCAGAGTCAGGCAGCAGCAGCATCAAAATGTATACACTGCTTGTTTTGCTTTTGTTTTCAGTTCACTTTCCATAATGCATCCCTCCCCCCAGTTTATTCTTATTAGATTGTACCAAGTTCACCAAACCCATTTCCTCAACTTAGGTGACCTTTCAACCTTTAACTGGAACTCGATAATTCACTTGAGCTATAACGTCAGTGAATTGGTGCCAACAAAACCGCATCATTTCAGTGCTCTTCAATGTTTTTAAAAAAAAAAAAAAAAAGAAAAAAAAAGAAGAAAAAAAAAACATTAAAACCAATGTTTAAGTCACCATTCTATAAAGTTTGACAGATGATGGAAAATAACTGCTTGTCTTTTTTTGTCTTAAGTTGTTTATTCAGGTTACTGGATTTTAGCATAAAGTTGGTCAATCTGAAACTGGAAGAGGTTTTTGAGCTCAGCCCGCTTTGCTTTAAGGGTGGGGGTTAACAGGCCGTTCTCAATGGTGAATTGCTCAGGATGGAGGTGCACATCTTTAACCTGCATGAGTTAGTAAAATGGAAAATGTTAGCCATGATAGAAAGCAAATTAATGTTACATTTCTCAAGTTATGGCATATATTGTAAACTAAAGATTAACAGGCTAATAATTATTAAGAAAATTGACATTTTGGGGCACATGACAAGAATTAGCTGATTTTGCACATTTTAACCATTAGAGGGTGATAAAAGCCAGGTTACTGAGAAGTGAAGAAAACCTCCAAAAAGGTGTTGATAATGTGGATAACAGCCAACTTCCCAAGACATTACACAGCCGTTTCATTTTTGCAATAAAGGATGAGTCATCACCTGCTCAAAAGACTTGAGTCCTGCTTCTTTTCCTAGTTTGGTCAGGTCTGAAATAATGGCTCTCTTAACTTCCTGCAGACAAAGACAAATAAAAAAAATTTTCAGCAAGTCATTTCAAGTTTATACGATTGTGTTACAAAACTTGCAAGAGAAAAACATTACAGGGATCTTGCAGAGTTCTTCAATGGAACCATGAAAGCCAAGATTTTTAGCAAAACCTGGCAGGACTTCAGGATCAGGGACCACAACAGCAACCAGGCAAGACTAGAGACAAAGAAGACAGTGTAGTCTAGGTGAATTTTATCCACTGTGTATACATAGCAAAGGTGCCCAAAGATTTACCTGTAGACTGTCTCCATGCACAAACACTTGTGCCACTGGTGCACTGCGTACATACACATTCTCAATCTTCTCTGGTGCGATGTACTCTCCTTGAGCCAGCTTGAAGATGTTCTTCTTCCGGTCAATAATCTTGAGAACTCCATTCTGCCACAAACAAAAACCAGGCCAGATCAGAGAATGGGAGCGTGATTTGAACTGTTGTGTGTCCCTACATCTCATTAAAATAATGGTCCACATCTGGGAAAGCATTGTTCCTGAGCTTCAAGTAAACATTTTTAAATGGAAGTCATGTTGGTTTCTTGGTAAGAGTTCCTTGAAAACCAATAACACTCCAAAAGCTACAGCCTGCAGGAAAAACAAAAACCCCATTCTGTTCACCAGTAGTTCTAAAGTGACGGAGCTTGTATGTTGTTAGATTTAATTTTACCCAAAAAAACAATTTCCCCCTCCCCATATTAAAACAGATGCAACTTTCCCCTTAAATCCCCAGTACTTTCAAAAGCCAGTCATCTCTTGCTGAAGATTTACATTTAGTTGACAGATAAATGAGTTGCTGGATGTCTTCACTAAACTTAACATGCAAGAGAACAAGCACCTCAAGGTCAGTCTGATCCTTTTAAATGGCAGAACCTCAAGAAAGCCCCTACATTCTTGTCAGGCAGTGTAACCATCATGTCTTCCAGGGCAAGCAGTGAAAAGAAAAAAACAAACAAATTTAGTAGCTCACTTATAAGAGCCTTTGAGCTCTTAAACTGATTCCACCTCATTTTCTACTAAACTTTACTTTGTGTTCTATATGATGGGTACATGGAAGGAAAGCATGTGGTCATACTTTTAGTCAGACTTAAAAATGGCTGGACTATTTACCGGAAGCCATTTCCCAACGTCTCCAGTATGGAGCCAACCCTCTTCATCCAAGGCCTCTGCAGTCCTCTCTGGATCTTTTAAGTACCCCTTGAACACATTGTTGCCCTTGATACAGACCTGGGAAGAAGAAGAAGAAGGAAAAAAAAAGGTAATGAAATTACAGGATGAGTAGAACATTCATTTTTTATTTTATTTAACCCATCCATGCATTTATCCACTTTTCCCTTTAAAAAAACAAAACAACCAGACAAACCAGAAGTAAACTATTGCCCACCCACCCGTTTTAATTCATGGAGAAAATGCAGAACTATACGGTTAACTATAGGCTACAACTTAGTCTATTTACTTTTGAGACAAGTGATGATGTTTAAAAACTTACTCTTATTTACTCTTTAAGAACATGCTTGGATAAATTACTGAACTTACCTCAGTACTTCAGATTAAACTGCTCTTGCTGCAGGTTTAAATATCCCAAAGCCTCACTGTCTGAATTGCAAAGAGCCTACCTCTCCTTCACCATTTGAAGCAAAGTAGTTCATATCTTCAACATCCACCAACTTCACAAAATTGCAAGGCAACGGCACCCCAACATGACCTATAGGAGGAGCAACAAAAAACAAAACCAAATGTTTAAGATGAAAATAACATTAAACACAAAATGTCAGTGAGAAGTGGGAAGTGATGATAAACTCAGCATGCTTCTGTGCCATGTACCTGCAGTGGCATCACATGGCATGGTGATCGTGCAGCTGGCTGTGCACTCTGTCTGACCATACCCCTCAAAGATCTAAGGGGACCAATAAAACAAGTGAACATTGTAATCACAATCTTAAATCTGTAAGATACCATTGTGGAACCTCCTGTTCTTGGACCTAATTCACTTTTAATGTTGTTATTTTAACAAGATGTGCATGTTTACAGGAAAACAACATGTACCAAAGCCCTTGAAAGTCTACCACCATCTTATAGTACATTTCAATATCAAGAGACTACCTGAGTCATAGAAATCTGAATACAAACTACACACACACACACACACACACACACACACACACACAGGATTAAAGTGTTTATTACCTGGCAACCCAGAGCAGCTCTGAGAAATTTGAGAACAGAGGGAGATATGGGTGCTGCGCCAGTCACCATGACCCTCACACGCCCCCCTAGAGACTCCTAAAAGAAAGGTTGAGCACATATACTTTTAGTGAATGCATTGCAGCTTTTGAATATTTAAGGGGAAGGTTACATTAACTAAAAGATCAGGGGGTCCTCCCCATGAATGCAAAATCCCAAAACGTCTCCATTTCCTCATGAACCGTGTACCCTTTTTGCACAGTCAATTACCCACTGACAATTCAACATGCAGTCAGTGACTTGACCTTGCTAGTACTGGGTTGGATCCCCTTCTGCTTAATTCTTTTTGCCATACAGTCTAGTCAAGATTATGGTCAATATTGGCATAACTGTCACAGGCTTGCTGCAGATTCAGTCGCACATCCATGATATCCTCTTCCACATCCCAAAGGTGTATGGATTGGGATCTAATGACTGGAGGATATTTGACATCAGTGAATCCACCGTCATGTTCAGTTTGAGATGATTTGTGCTTTATGACATTGTGTGTTATTCTGCTGGAAAATGTGTACAATGGGGTGGCTGTAGCTCAGGTAGCAGAGCAGGTCAGCCACTAATCTGTGGGCAGGGCAGCTGTGGCTACAAGGTAGTTTGCCATCACCAGTGTGTGAGTGTGTGTGTGTGAGTGTGTGTGTGAGAATGGGTGGATGACTGAATGTACTGTAAAGCGCTTTGGGGTCATTTACATCCCAAAGATGGCAGTGTGTGGGGAGGGGGGGAAAAAAAGCCCCCAGCATTTCTGCAGTTTCTGAAATACTAAGCAGTCTTGTCTGACACTAAGAATTATGCCATGTTCATAGAATTTTTAAAAACACCTTCCTTCCCTTTAAAGATCATCAGTTTGAACTCTGAACATAAATGCATGGCTGCTGCCATGTGACTGGCTCACCAGATGTTTGACTTAAATTAAGTGCAGCTGTTCAGCTGTACTTAAGTGGCCATGAGTGCACACAATTTACTCTGCTGCTTGTGTTTTTATTAGGTGTGTGTCCCTTGAGAACTACAGCTATTCAAACAGAAGCAGTACCTGGACTTTGTTGAAGATGAGCTTGTCCCATACGCTGTTCTTCCTGATGATGCCATCCTTCACCTCTGCATATTTCCTCTCCACTGCAAAGTTCAATAACCATTTCTTGAAAGGTGTAGTGGCTCCGCTCTGAACCTAAGAGTCAAAGAAAATTTGTGCACTTGATATCAATGAAACTGGAGTTGTGTTGTGTTAATTCTTTGTAGTATATTTAAAAGGAATGTGAGCTGTTTAGCTTACACACACACACACACACACACACACACACACACCTTGTCATAGATACGGTTGAGAAGTCGAGGCACAACTGGAAAGAGGGTGGGCTGCAGTGTCTTCATGTCATCTGGCAGCAGTCTGATGTCACCCTGGAAGAATCCCACCTTAGCTCCAGCACCAAACATCACCGTCTGCAAAATACAAAACAAAGTTAGCACACCTAAAGAGAACTTTGAATGATGATCAAGTCTGGACCTTACCTGCACGACTCTCTCAAACATGTGTGCCAATGGCAGGAATGAAATTGTGACATCCTGGGTGTTTGGAATCATCGATACCTGCATTTACACAGAATCTGTTAGCACTAATTTTCGCTCATTACACGAGTTTCACCCCAACATTTAGAATGGGGAAAGAAAAAAAATATATAAATCAAAAACCGCTCTACTTTTCATGTACCTCAATGGTTTTGAGTACACCTGCAGCATCGGCGACCACGTTCTCATGGGTCAGCATTGCTCCCTTGGGATTTCCTGACAAATGAGTACAATGATTTACCCTTAAAAGCCTAAACATCAAACGTAGTGCTATCCACTTCTCCCAAAATGTTTTCACACCGTTTCCTTCACAACTGCTTTGAATAATAGGCCAGGAAGAACATGTTTTCCTTACATGCTTCCATCATGATACCAAGACACATTTCCTAAAGACAGTTTGACAAAACATTTCTAGGGATTTGATTCATTTTAATGGGCAATTCATTAGGTGCAGGTCCCCCCCCGAAAAACAAAAAACAAAACAACCCCCCCAGCAAATATAATTATGTGTCAAATATACAGGTTGGCTGCAGGCTAAGGAGATCTGTACATTTAGAAAACATTTGTTGCAAATTGTTGATCAGTCAGGATAATAAATGCCTCATTTCTTCCTGGTAAAGACATACTATTCATAAAAAGGGGTTAAAAGGTTCCATCAAAGCTGTCAACACATTTTGCTTCAAACCACAAGTGTTAACTTCGTGTTTGTACTCACGGGGAAGTCCAGTGAGTCACCAAATTTAGTGCAAAATAATTTTATAGCAATCCTTCCAAAGGGTTCCCACCCTCACTGAGACCAAGTTTGCCATCCTTTCCATATTGTGGTTAATTATCACCTTCATCATTGCCACTTTGTCTTGTTATATTAAATTTGGATTTAACTTTCATCAAGTTAAAGTTTCCTAAATGATTTAATGCCTGCAGGAAATGACTTTGATATTCTTAAGTAAAACCATTACCTGTTGTGCCGCTGGTGAAACAAACAATGCTGAGGTCCTCTGGCTTTGGTGGCTGTTGGAACATGAAATCAGTTCATCAGAACAGTGTGCAGTGTTTTTAAGACTCAAATGAATTTCATTACATGGCTGTATCAGAAACTTACAATTGGCTTTTGAGGATTACTTTTCCCTAGTGCCTGGAGAATAAAAACAAAGCATGTTTTCAATAATGCTGAATGTCTTCTAGCAGTTTTAGTACAGATCTTAAATGTTAGTTCCCAAGCGAGGAGAAAACAAAAGCAATGACTCATCTGTAACCACTATTTGTGCTCAGCGTGCATTACCTCCATTTCCTCCAAGGATGCAATGTTCACACCACACTTTGCTCCTCGCTCGACCAACTCGGAGTTGAAAGAGTCCATAATGATGATGGTTTTGAGGACTGGAGTCTGGCCTTTCTCCCGATTCTGCAGGAGTGTTTCTGCTTTCTTTTGATTGTCACAAAGCACTGTGGAAAGCTCAGCTGAAACAGAGCAAAACATCAGCTGGACTCGTATTAAATTAGAAGGCTATTGTTCAAATTGAAACCAGTACAATTTGAGACAAATGCCTCAATCTAATGTCACTTATAATAAATTTTCCAGAGCTAAATCAGAAAATCAAAAGCAAAATATGTTTGAAGGAGCACATTGGAAAAGAAAAGATTAATGGAAAGTCACAGATCCCTGTAGGGATCAGGGAGATACCGGACTTCCACCCAGCTCTAATTAGCAGAATTGGATTCAAAGAGAAACTCAGTTACCTCGGTCGATAATAAACACAAGAGCCTCCGGACCCAGCGTGTCGTACAGGGGAACAACTACCATTGAATAGGTGTAACATGCCAGTTCACCAATAACCCACTGCAAGTGACCAATGAAACAGTAAGACATTTGCAGCATGTTGATCACATTGAAAAGACAATCAATCAATAAATAAATAAATAAATAAATAAATAAATAAATCTAAACTTCACTGACCTCAGGTCTGTTCTGGGCAAAGATACCAACAAAGGTGTTAGAGTTTGGCTTCAAACCCCTATGAATAAGCCCAGATCCCAGGTGCTCTGCTCTGTCAGTCACCTTTTGAAGAGAGGGGGGGGGGGGGTGAGTATGAACTGAAATTCACAGCTGGTGTTAATGTTTTCCCCCAGATGCTGATCCTTTTACCTGTCGGTACTTCAGCCACTGGTATGGTCTTCCTGGTTTTCTGTAGCCTAAACATGGTCCATTACCTGGAACAACAAGAGATTTAACGTGAGCTTCACAACACTGTCAAGGTGCTTAAAGGAATGCAATCAATATGAGAGTTAACTAGTTTATGCATATACTCAAGTTTTTCCATTTCTCAGCTGGGAGAAGCAGCATCTAGTTTCTGAGTTTTCCCTTTAGAAGCATTTTCCTGCCTGGAAAAACTGTCTTGTTAAACAGAGCATAAATGCTTTATGCTACATATTTTATGCCGTGTTCAGCACAAGAGTTATCCCACTTATGAGCCCGACTAGTAATTTGGTTTATTGTGGTTTCCTCTTTAGCAAGGCCTCGCTCTACGTCACTCTTGCGCAATTAAGACGCCTGTCAGCGTTGTTGAGAAGAGGGCGTGGCGAAAAACATAGGGCTGCTGACCCCTTTTATTCCAGTGAACTTCACATGAACGCTTAAATTTACATGCACCTTTTACATACCTTTTTGTTTTTAGGTACCAATTTTTGACTTTAAATTATTTTATTTATTTATTTATAGTTGTACACATTATTTTAAACAGTTATGCCTATTAAGGTTTATAAAGGGTATCGGTGTTTGAAATTAACATGTTTGGATTTATACAGTTGAAGTATGAACAGCAAAGCCTATACAACTGTTTGTTACATTTATTCCCTATAAATGGCACATTTTCACCATCCACACACATCACTACATCACACATACTCTGCATATTCATTACTACCAGAAGAGTGTTTAGCTTAAACCTGCAGCATACATATGGAAGTTAAGTCAGATCGAGGTTTGATCTTTTTTATTTATTTATTTTTTTTAAAGAACTTTGAGTTCTTTTTGGATTTGGACTAAGACCACACCCACAAAAGGGTCACACCCAAGTGGAATTACTGTTCCTATCTGAAGAAATTGTAAAATTTAAATTCAGAATAAACTAACCACCAAGTATAAGGGACAGGTAGATGCCAACTTTAAGACTGGAGAACTTTCTTAGGTCTTCGGTTAATTAAATCATTTTGTATGTTATCAGGTTTTAATCCATATCCAAAATAAGATAACCAGAACCGTGGATAACATGAACTGATAACATTGTAACCTTTGCCATTTCTACCACCCAGCTTTATCAAGGCAGACTGAAAACATGCTCATTAAACCTCAAAAGAAAGCTAGGAAACATTGGGATTTGTTTTGTAAAAGATGCATATAACAAATTCAGTGATATTACCTGAAACCTTCAGACCCCTCTGAAAAACCTCATAGAGTGTCTTTGCATCTTTGCAGCAATATGATATCAGGTTGTTGTTATCCTCCAACAAAGCAGACTTTCTTGCACCATCCTAAGGATTTCAAACAGAGACACTGTGACATTCTGTAGCAGATTATGCAACAATTTAACAGTCATATTTGACAAGATCTGACAGTTTTCTGACTTTTACCTTGATACCCATAGTTTGGCAGCTGAGGTCAGTGGGGGACCGGATGGGACTTGGTCGAGTGTTCAGGTAAAATAGGGTGGCAGCGGCCAAAGCGAACAAGGAGACAATTATAGGGGTTGGGAGTGGGGAGAACAGGAAGTGGAAGATGAAGTCCATGGTGGAGAGTCTGCAGGGATACAGAACAATGTTGTGGATTTATAAAGATTTAGACCTCCAGGTCTTTACTATTTGATCAAATGTAAGTCAAGTTTCTTTAAAAGCTAAGCTAAACTATACATCATTGTGATGCATCTGGGCTCCTTCACACTGCTCTCGATATTGTGCCCATAAATCAAGTTCAAAGTCAACATGAATTGTGCAAGTTATTCTAGTCACTCAAGTTAGAGCCCAACCCATAAAAAGCTCAAGAGAGAATTACAGCCCGTACAGTGTAAAGACAGTAAGTGCTGCAGAATATTTATAAACACCTAAAATGAGAAGAACATAAATCCATGCTTTAATGGCCATTTTACTTTAAGCATAGGAAGGTTTCTTGACCGTTGTGACAAACTGCTGAACTGCACTTAGGTAAAGATGTTAATTAAGACAACTGTGAACAGTCAAGCAGGTGCATTTAAAAATATTTTACCTTTTGTGCAACAAATCTATTGACACATTTATAATGAGATTTTTAAGAACAGGTCCTAAAATTAATGATAGTTTAGAAATTAACCAACACAATTAGAAATAGCGACAGGTTCTCCTACCTGCTGCTGGTCCTTAGAGGTGCGTGGCATGTGCTCACAGCAGATCTTCTTCCTCTGCTCTGAAGGGCAACACAGAATAAGAACCCATAAAAATGAATGAGCATGAGACTTCAAAACCTTTGAACCTTGACCACCATCACCTCCGCTGATAAAAAAAGAACATGATCACAGAGATCAAAACCTGTCTTGTATTAAAGTGTACATTGTGCAATTTATTAAACTACCTTTCAACCATCAGCTCTTACAACCACAAAATTTCTTTGATTTCTGTCCAAATCAATAAAACTTGTGTGTACACTGGGAAATCCAAGAGGTTGCACTTAGTGAAAAGGGCACTATTCTTATCTCCCGTTTATCAAGCCCAATTTTGATTCTTTCATGTGTTTAAATCCCATAAGTTAACCATGGATATTGTCAGACAGCACTTTCCCCCCTCAAAAGACAGTGCAAGGTGTATTGCATTGTGTTGAAATCACTGGAAAGAGATTAGATAAAAGGAAACGCCACCTCACATTTGCTCATCTTATCATCAGGTTACAGTCAGTAATGGTGAAATGAAACATCAAACAGCAATACTGAAGGATACCAATGAATTCACTGAATTATCTGTGCGTTTTCTCACTTGTGAAACTTTTATCTGTGTGTACAGAACACATGTCTGACAAACAATCACCACACCTAGCTTTGTCAATTCACTTAAAGCAAGGAACACAGTGCTGATCTTCTAACAGGTTTTCTTGTGCGAATGAGTTAATTTTGTCAGGCAGTGAGATGAAGGGAATAGGTTCATTAAAAGTTACCTGGTGGGATTAGCGGCAGTAGTTGGGGACCAGGCTGAGCCGACTCATCCCCTGGAGAAAAAACAGCTGAAGCAAGCAACACCACTAATGTACAGCCTGCCCACCTGCAGTCATTAGCACCTTAAACTGCACACAGGTGTGAGAACTCCTCTGCACAGAGCAAGGCTCGACCTGCCTTATCTGGCTCTTGCAGCCCTGCATAAGCAGACAACACACCCGGGAGAGTTACAACAGTTTTCACTTTTCATTTCTCCCCTAAAAAATCTTTATGAATTTAGCCCACATTCCTTAAATAAACCTGTCCTCTTTTCCTCTCCCTCTTTGCTATGTGTTTGTTTGAAGTGGACGCATGACACTGTTAAAGGTAAAACAGATCGGGTTGAACTTTGACACTGGATTTATGATTGCAAGCAGTGACTACATGTGCACATAAATGTGACACAAGTTGGATTTATTGGTCTATTGTAGTTGAATCCTAATCAAGATCTTATTTTGTTAATCAATAAAATCAAAAGTTAATCTTTGGATAATTATTAATTCTTATTTGGATTGCTGAATGTTTTCTGGATAAAAATATGAGCTACACAGAAGAAAAGTAAAGTAAAGAGCACAAATTCTACTATTTGATTTGTGTATCAACTAAAAGTTATTTTGAATAGAGGATCAAACCACAAAAACAATAATAAACTTTACCTCTCTATACCACCTCCCTCCTCCTACATTTTCCCCTCCCTAACCAAATGTCCAGCATCACCAGTGAAGTTGCGTATTTAAGCTCTGTAACACGAAGCCACTAACAGGATGAGAGTGATGCTGAGGGGGGTATATTGCCGTGGCACGAGTCCCATGCTGGTGCTTCACTTCACACTTCTGTTAACTGCTGCTGCTAGCATCAGCAATGGCACCAATGGATCTCAGCCTCACAAGCTGCTCATTGCCTTCCAGGCTCCCTGGAACATAACCTTCCCTTTCAGCGCCCTGCGGCTGGGCTCAGCCATACAGATAGCTGTGGAGAAGGTGAACGCTAACCCCGCCTTACTGGGAAACATTAATCTGGATTTTGTGTTCAAGGACACTGAGTGTAGTCCCAAAGAGTCCCTAGCAGCATTTATTCACCAGGTGTGGAAAGAAAATGTGTCTGCGCTCTTCGGTCCAGCATGTCCTGAAGAAGCTGAGGTATAATTCATGTGAAATTAATGTTTTTGTTTATGTGAAATACATATCCTGCATAAGTTGCATACTTCCTGCATAAGCAGAAAGTATGGTTCTTTTTGATGTATTGTAAATCATCCTAAAAGTTTATAAAAGTCTGTAAATAAAGAGCATTTGATGGATTTTAAATGACTTTACTTGTATTTACTCTAACTTTTTGTTATTGTATGCTAGACTCATTTATTGCAGGAGCATCAAACATATGGCTAATGGGCCAAATTGGCTCCTCAAGTGGTCCAGAATCGGCTATGGGAAGTCTATGCAAAGACTGAAAATGACAATAGAGGAGAGGATAAGATTCTGAGTTTTAGATTTATTTTGCAGCTCGAAGTTTGGATCAAACCATCAAAACAATTTGTTGAATTGATTGAAGTCCAAGGTCTAATTATAGTCAGTTTTAAAGCCTTCTTAATACAACAATAACCTGCCATATCACACAATAGTAAACTAATCAGAACAAATTTACATTACTGACAAGATATTGACTGAACATGGAAAACTGGAGAAATATTGCTTATATTATATTTCCTAAAACAAATCAGGCAATTCATCAGTTTAGTATAAGGATGGGTCATGAAATTTGACCATTTTTAGAAATTAATTGTGCATCCATACACCCAAAGAAGGTGGTTGATTTTACAGGTTATTAAGTTGTTGTTCCCCTCATCAGGGATGAGTTTATGTTATAAATCTCTCGGTGTTTCTAAAAAAAGACATTTTAGTTAAATAAAAACAGTCTGTTGTTGTAAGGCTTTGATGTTTTCCTTTTAAAGTTAATATTAATTCAAAACTTGCTTTCCCGTTTTCTGATAAGCCTTTTTGTCTTTTAAAAGAGTGTTTGTAAAAAAAATAATCTTACCCTTTAAATTTTACTTACTAAAACTGCTTTCCAGGTGACTGGTCTCATTGCGTCAAAATGGAACATCCCAATGTTTGGCTTTGTGGGACAATCAACCAAAATGGACGACAATGACAACTACGATTCCTACATCACTGTAATGCCCCCTCTTAAAAGAAGCGCCGAGGTCCTGGTGAAGACCTTGGAGTTCTTCGGGTGGAGTCATGTAGCTTTGATCGGCGGGGGATTGGACTCGAATACTTGGGACAAGGTTGACGCTTTGTGGAAAACGATTGAGGATCCTCTGCGAGCAAAATTCAAGCTCACTGCAGTGGTTAAATTTGACACCAGCGATCCCCAGTTAGTTCAACAGAATGTTAGGTACATTTCCAAGGTTGCTAGAGGTAAGAGAAATGTCTATGAGCACTTTCTAGCAAACTATGAAACCACTTTTTTGTCTGTCATTTGTTCCTGTTTTAATTTTTCCCTTTTTTTAGTCTCTGCAATAGTTTGTCCTCTGTCTGCTTTTTGTTTGGCTGTTCTTTTCTGTTGTCTTGTTCTCTTCATCCCATAATCTGAGATTGGCTTTGCTCAAGGTCTCTTTCGCTTAAACGCTTAAAAGGGAGCTCTTCCTCCCCACTGTCGCCTTGAGGACCTCTGTGATTCTACCTCTATTATTGAAGGGGTTTTACCTTACAATAGAAGCGCCTTGTTTTTATGAACTTCTTATGTGTTGTATGAATAAAATTTAATTGAATTCTAATTTCTTCATCCACCCTTCTTCAGTTATTGTGGTGCTATCGAACAAAGAGGATACTATGGCTCTGTTGTTGGAGGCTGAGAGTCAGGGTCTGATGAATGGCGACTACATTTTCTTACTGGTACAACATTTTGAGGTCAGTGGCACTGTGGTGAGTAAAACTTTCACAACACAGTAAGACAAATATTCAGCTGTGTAAATCACCAACAAACGGGGACACCAAGACAACAAAGCCTGAAAAGACACAGGAGAGGTAAGCTTCAATTAAATTCGTTATATCCTGAGGCTATTCTTTTTTTTAATTAGACCCAGAAAGTCCAATATTTTACTTTTCGATTGACTCTTGAGTTGGATATGTTGTCTTTTAGAACCGTGCTCATCAGGAAACTAAATAAAACTTTAAGGCACACATTATCTAAAATTAAAGGCTCAAATACAGTTTTAGTGCCTACATGCTGGATATAACTTAATTCATGGATTTGAATATTTGCTCCTTTGTGTCAATAATCTGCATGTAAAGCATGTAGTGTTGCATGAGCTGTGCTATAAAAGAAAACTTTGTTACTGCTGTGTTATATCTGCAGAGTGGTTCAGGGTTAGTGAGCTTATACATGATTTTATGTATGATTAGGAATATGACTGTTTGTTTTTAAATAAAATAGCATCATAGCATCCGTCTTCCAGACTGAGTTAAATCTTTATGAGCCATCAAAATTGATCAAAGCTGTTTGTGGTAAATAGTAAATGGACTGATTTTTATATAGCGCTTTTCTACTCTCCTGGAGTACTCAAAGTGCTGTTGCATCTACTGACTCATGTATTATTCATGTTAAACTTTTTTTTTCCTGAGCAGGATAACTTGTGGAAAAATGCCCTGAACAGCACGATAGACGAGGTTGCTGTAAGAGCTTTTGACATGGCGTTCATTATTGCTCAGAAATCCTACGAAGGCTACGAGTATTATGATTTCTTTGAACAAGTTTTTGAAAGACTGAGCGGACATCCATTTCGGAGCAACCTAACATCTGAAAAACAGGCAAGTAGGCACAGGGAACAGAAAGCATGAATTTGAATCATGGAAAATACTGAACTTTCACATATTTATTTTACTGATTTAATGTATTTCAGGTTAGCCCATACTCTGCCTATCTGCATGACGCTGTGCTTTTGTACGCGATGGCACTGAAGGAAGTCCTGAAAGGTGGCAAAGACCCTCATGATGGTCGGGAGTTATTACAGATCCTGAAAAAAAGAAACAACTTTCAATTTTATGGTAGCTACACAATTCAATACCTGTATTTTGATTTTGCCTCAGTGTAAAGTGCAAATATTGTTTTTTTTTACTTGGTTCTTGAAAGGCTTCTATATTCTTTAGTGAAGGAAATAATCAGTTTAGTGCTAAAAGTTTGTTTTGTTGATATAAATTTGGATAATGCTTATGGTCTGCTGAGGTCAGCTGACCATCAACTCTTAAAGCATGAGTAACTTTTATGTTATTATTATTTTTTTAACCATGCCAACTACCTCAACACGCCACATTCACTCTCTGTAACGCGGTCACGGCACAGCTGCATTAGGTAAACATGTAAACTGAACCAATTCAGCCCATGAATGGGAAATCTAATAAACTGTCCCAGGTGCCAAGCCTGTCCAAACCATTCATCAGTATAGTCAAGGCACCAAAACTTTGACAAGGAAGAGGAATGGCAGCAATAATAAAGAGGATATTTCTGGGCCTGTTACAGTAAATCAACATGTCTACAAAGCATAATCACAAAATAATAATCACAATAAAGTTTATTTTGACTTTGAAAAAACCTTTTAAAAAATGAATTAAATTTACCTTAATTGTATTTTTATCAGATACCTCGTGTTATAGAGTTTGGCATCCAAGTTCAAATTTTACATCTAGAAATTGGGGAATTCCTCATCTTTACAAAAGTTAGACAATCTAGCTGCTGGTATTTTTAAACCTGCTGTAGTTAAAAGTAGTTTCATCTGTGGATGTAACACAGATTGATACTGAAATCAGATCCATGGGCAGAGGGTAGGTGATACTGTATGTTTTGGGTGAACTGACTTTTAATCGGTTGTAGTTACACCCACAAACACTTTGCTAAAACAATCAAACTCAAGGGTGACACATAATGTTCTATGACACTTTGATTCACTAACAGATTGTCATTGCAGGAGCCTCTGGACTGGTCCATTTTGATAGAGAGGGAGAGCGAAATCTAGACTACTCAATTTATGACCTCCAGCACACAGGTGACATCACCAAGTTTGTCCCAATCCTCCATTTTGACAGTCACACCAAAAATA